AAGAAGTGAGGTGGTATGTTGAGGAGCGTGAGGGAAGGGGCTTGGTATGCTGTGTAGGGGTGAGGATGGACTTGCTTTAAACTGTGTAGGTGAGGAAGGACTTGTAATGTGTGTAGGAGAGGGAAGGACATGAGTAATGTGGGAGAATGAGGAAAGGTTATGTGGTGTTGTGTAGGGTGAGAGGACTTGGTATGTTGTGTGAGGGTGAGGGATGGACTTGGTATGTTGTGTAAGGAGTGAGGGAAGGACTTGGTATGTTGTGTAGGGTGAGAGGACTTGGTATGTTGTGTAGGAGTGAGGGAAGGACTTCGTATGTTGTGTGGGAATGAGGGAAGGACTTGGTATGTTGTGGGGGTGAGGATGGACTTGCTGGACTGTGTAGGAGTGAGGAGGAGGGACATGTGTAGGAGGAAGGACATGCAGAATGTGTGGAGGAATGAGGAAGGTTATGCGGTGTTGTGTAGGAGTGGGATGGACTTGGTATGTTGTGTAGGGGTGAGGGATGGACTTGTTGAACTGTGTAGGAGTGAGGGAAGGACTTGTAATATTGTGTAGGAGTGAGGGAAGGACTTGTAGTATTGTGTAAGAGTGAGGGATGGACTTAGCATGCTGTGTAGGAGTGAAGGAAGGACTTGCAGTGTGGTGTAGGAGTAAGGGAAGGACTTGTAGTATTGTGTAGGCAGGAGGGAAGGACTTGCAGTGTGGTGTAGGAGTAAGGGAAGGACTTGTAGTATTGTGTAGGAGTGAGGGAAGGACTTGCAGTGTGGTGTAGGAGTAAGGGATGGACTTGTAGTTTTGTGTAGGAGAGAGGGAAGGACTTGCAGTGTGGTGTAGGAGTATGGAAGGACTTGTAGTATTGTGTAGGAGTGAGGGAAGGACTTGCAGTGTGGTGTAGGAGTAAGGAAGGACTTGTAGTATTGTGTAGGGAGTGAGGGAAGGACTTGTAGTATTGTGTAGGCGGGAGGGAAGGACTTGCAGTGTGGTGTAGGAGTAGGGATGGACTTGTAGTTTTGTGTAGGAGTGAGGGAAGGACTTGCAGTGTGGTGTAGAGTAAGGGATGGACTTTAGTTTTGTGTAGAGTGAGGGAAGGACTTGCAGTGTGGTGTAGGAGTAAGGGAAGGAC